CGATCGCATTATTTGCTGTGAAATTATAGTCTTAAAAAGCATTTAATTGGGGTTTAATTATGGTTTAGTCGGTATTTAGTCGGAGGTTAATCAGGCTTCGTCAAGGTTTAATCAATGTTCAGTGGAAGTTTAAGCCAGTTTAATTTTAATTTAGTCGGCGTCTGTTAAATGTTTAACCAGGGCACATGGAGCTCATGTTAAATCTTTGGGATATTTAGGGATCATATTAAGGTTTCATGGCTGGTATTTCTTCCTCCCCAATTTACCATTCAGAAGCAACTTGCTAACTCATTAGCAAAAAAGTTATACTGATCTCAAGTCCAGTTTGAGGAAAACTATTCAGGAGAAAAATAAAATTTTAAAAATTTACTTACGACCGAGAAGACATCAACATTGATGTAGCAGGAGCATGAACTCTTGTGATATCAAATTTTACATTCATTTTGTTTTCACTCAGTCTGTCTAATTTAAAATAAATTCAGGTCGCTAAAGAATTTTATCTCCAAGTTTCTTTAAAAAAAAAACTTGAATTTTTCTGAGGTTAATCTTCAGGAAGGATTTGTACTAATCTGAAATTAATGACAGAAAACCGAATATGCCCTTTTTTTATTTTAATTCGATTAATCCATTTGGAAGCAAATTGCTAATTTTCAGTAAATAAACTATACTTGATTTAGACCTATGCAATGGGTCACTTGTTTGAATCATAATCGGTCGACGTAACGTAAAGAATCCGAAACATGAATATGAACCATTACAAAGCTTCCATTCAGAAGCGTAAATAATTTTTAGGAACATGTCACTGATTTCCAGGGACAAACATAGCGTGAAGAAAAAAATTGAAATTTCATAGACAGTTGCCTAGTAATTTTCACGAGAATGATCCTCTTCTGAGCAACCCTCCCTTACTTGTGTTAATATTGGATAATTCAGGCGGGTGACAGGGGGCACGAGCTGCCTCTCAAATATCTGTAATACAACGTGCTAACGCGAGGAGAGGAGCAGACGTTGGTTATGCGAACGTCGGGAGAACATGAAGAGGCACGCACACTCTCGAGTTAAATGAACCCCCTCGGTTGAGTAATGTGTACCTGTGTCTTACTGCTGGGGATAATTAGTATGAATAGTGACAATAATTCATTGGAAACTACATTGAACCAGAATATTGTACGACGTGAAAAAACATCTTGAATAAAGAATATCGCAATGTATTGGTTCTCCACTTTTTCATTAGCTACTTTGGGGAGGAAAAATTGATTTTTGTCGTGATGAAAATCTGCCGGAGATACAAACGTCGGCATGAATTATGCCCTGAAAAATGACGCATTTGAATCTAATAAAGCTCTTTATCTAATCTTTTGTTCTTCATTTAATAATATTTTGGCCGGAATTTATTAAACCCACCCCCATCCGAGTATAAAATATACGTGAATCAAGTATTTTTTTTCGTGAAATTTACTTCCGCTGATTATTTGAATAATAAAAAAAGAAGGTTAAAAATGATTCAATTATCATTAAAAGGACCTGCTTCGACTTCACCTCCATCGAATAAATGGATGGTATAGATATATATTACTTCACATTTTAAATTTCATCAAATATTGAACTAAATTAAAAATTCAACACTATTGATTAAAGGAGAAACTTCATTGAATTTAATAAAATTATATGAAACGATGGATTATATACTATAGAAGCAGATGACGTGGAAAATCACCATTCGGAAGCATATTGCTAATTAATTAGTAAAAAAAACTATACTATATTAATATAAAAGCAATTTCCCACTTGTTTATTTAATTTACGGGCTTTTCAAATGGTGTGAAAAGTGAGATTCCAAACCCAATTTTTCAATATTTCAATATTTCAATATTTTAACAATCATCTATCTCTATATCTGTTCTGAACTGAGAACAATGTACAAAGTAGAATTCAGTAGCGAAACGGTAATCCGGGTCAAGTCAATTTTGACTTTTGGTCAGTATTTGATGGATATCTTGGAATCTAAGAGAGATCGCAAATTTTTTCTTACCACCTTTTTTATAGCCCTTAATTGGATCTACAAAAAAGGTCATGATAACCATTTTTCTATCTCTGTTAGATTCCGAGATATTCGTCGAAAACTGGACAATAGTCAAAATCGACTTAAACCGGTTACCGCTTCGCTACTGAATTCATCTGGTTAAGGACTTGTAGTAATGTCCTACCACTGTTGCCCAGAATTGTTGTGACATACTTGTCGTAATTATAGTTACTGCGAGAGTGAGCGTAGTACAATGTATGTTATATTGAGTGCTCAGTTCACAATTGTCCTGGATATTTGTATTTCCGTACTTGACGAACAATATCGTGTTGTACAAGTCATTCGATAGCGCACATGTGGCATTCCAGTGTTTTAATAAATTGGGGAATTTATTCTGGGGATGTATTGTTGATGGTAATTGGATCTCTACGCGTTATGCATTTTTCGAGCGTTCAAACGGAAAATACATTCGGGAAAAAGTGACTAGAGGACATGTGCGGCGGTTCGCCAATCTATTTTTCCAAAATATTTATGGACATCGGAGATTGTTGATCATGTAATGACTTCTGAAATCTTAAAGGACACTCAGGCCAGTATTTTGTGATTAACATCCGAAGTATGACGGACATTGGAAAATTAAAAGATAGTGTATTCCACGTATCAATGATTCAGAATTAATTTTTTACTTCTGCACTTTCAAAATTAGAGATGGAATCGGTACTTCATCAACTACAAACAATTAGCGGTTTTCCCAAAACAACTAATTATGGTTTATGGGTAAACCACTAATTATGGTCGGTGGGGTTTGGATGCGAGTTGAGAATTTAACTGAAATATGTTCGTGAACAAAAGTACCACTTTCATGAGAAATTTGGGATGGATTATTTACTAGTTGGGCCTTCAAATGAAAGCCCGAGTTGAAGACCCGAGTTTGTAGCAAAGATGTCAGAAACTTCATTCATTCATTGACGATTTTTTCTTAACTCGCAAAATTCTTCAAACAATTTGCTACCGATTGGTGACTAAATTTTTTGGAAATAATGAAACAGGGGGGATAACGCTTTTTTTTTCAGGGGTGATTTTTCAAAAATTTATTTTAAAAAAAGTACTAACTAGCAAATGTTTTTTATTAGCTCGCAATTTTCTTCAAAACTACTTCAATGAGGAAAAAAATAAAAATTTGGAATATCTATACATGAGGGGCTAATTGATCGGATCTNTCTAAAGAAATTGGTCACTGGGTAGGATTCATCGCGCGTATTTTAAGATCTGTGGAGACACCCAGCGAGAATTCTCCAAGTTCTCTGCGCGCTTAAGGTAACACTCCCCAGATTTTATCAACTGACAGTAAACTGTTAAAAATTTTCGTCTGGATTTTTCGTACCAAATTCCGGAAATTTTTATCGTGCTCAAGTTCCACTGACATTTCAGCAAATCTTGTCATTGAAAAATCAAATATTCCAATTGATTTTCTGTTCAAATTGTAGTAGGAAAGAAATATGAATGGTAATAATCTGGAAATCAATAAAATACTTGATTTTTCAGTTTAATTATTCTGTGAAAATTCAGAAAAATCAAGAAAATTCAGGGAAAAATTGAAAATCCATGTCATTTTGGTTCTGAATATCCATGTTCGACTGAAAATTCAATCAAGTTGTGAAATTTCCATCTCACTCCACTAAAAACTCATGAATATCCGTGAATTCTATTTAAAACTTGAAATTTCATAACCATTTTTTTCCCAAAATCCGATTCAATCTCACTCTCATGAGGTTTACTATAATATCTTCCATGAAATTCCAAAAAAAATTCCAAATTAATCACCAAAAGCCCAAGTTGTCACGTACATACACACACACATGACCCGAAAAACAATTTCTTCGCGCTTCATGACATACTGATGGCACAGGTTCCATTTGCAATCAAAATTAAAAAATCGAAAAATCGGTCAAAAAATTTATTTGATTTTAAGAAAAATCATTTATTTGAAATCAGTAGCGAACCGGTAAACCGGTTCAAGTCGATTTAGAATATTGATCAGTTTTTAATGAATATCTCGAAACGTAAAGGAGACAGCCAATTTTTGTAATGACCTTTTTTGTAGCTCGCAATTCTCTCTACAAAAAAGGTTATTATAAAAATTTCACTATTTCTCTTAGATTCGGAGATATTTCTCAAAAACTCAGCGAAGAGCGAAGTCGACTTAAATCGGTCTGCCGCTTCGCTACTGAAATAAAAAAACTGTTTTTTCAAATTCAATAGAAATGTTATTTGAAGTAAAGAAATAGTTTATTTAATATAACAAAATCCTTTTTCTTGAAACGAGTAAACAAGTTTAATCATTTGTAAAAAGATATTCCTGAAATAAGTAAAAAATTTCAAATCAACATTTTTTTGATTCAAAAGAACCATTTTTCTGGGGGCGGAGTTCATCAATGCCATGTTATGCATGTTGACTAAAACTTCAACTCATCGAAAAATATCTCCCACTGAATATTCGTACAGTCATGACGAGCCAAAAAACTAATTACGCATTATCTGCCAGTACCCCATCAGTACATACAGCGCAACGACGAGTGCGTGCGCGGTAGAGTGAGGCCTTACATGTACAGGGAAAAAGGTAAATAGAGACTCAGGTGTAAACAAAAAGCACATGTCGTCTCTTCACGTCAAAGGTGCCGACACGGTCCCTTCAATATATAATCAATCTCCTAAATGATAATTAGACATTCGTATTCACCAGTTTTCAGCGAAAAAGAGACTTCACGAATTTATTGAAAGCTACATAATTTCAATTGAACAATTGAAATTGTCTTCGAGAGGAACATCGAGGTATCAATTACCATTTAATTATTAGTAATTTACTGTCATTATTGTTTCATAATGCAGTCAATCCACAGCGCGCAGACCAGCACAGGCCAGTGGAATGTCCACTCGATAGTATGAATGAGGTTAGTCCGCGTTTTGCATCATTTTTTTGCTTCTTCGAATGTCTATCAGCGAAAATCGTCCGATTGCATTATCAAGCATTTCGTTGGGAGTTTCGTTCTGCAGTGGTTCATTCAATCTGTGGAGTGCCGCTAATAATCAAGTTGATAGAGTAACAATTAATGATTCTGAATGATGCTTGTTATGAGTAATTGGATAGACATGTGAATCATAATAATTGCCGGGGTAATTGTTTTTCATTGTTACTTTGTGGGAGTCCAGAGACAAAGAACAGGAGGTGCGGTGAAGTATGGCCGAGGGGTTTGAGGAAAACGTCAGGAAGAGGAAGTCTCTCTGGGGGAGGATTAAAAATGTCCCGGAGAACGTCGCCACTGGGGTCCAGCATTTCTTCTACAGGTAAATGGCATTTTCTGGGTTTCGTAGCGATGGGGACAGGGAGATGATTCGATTGGACTGTGGGACGGATGAGTATTTTGTGGGTATCTTGGAAGGAACACGTATGAAAAAAGTCAATAGAAAACCTAACGAATTCACTAGAAAACTCTATTGGAATTCTATAAGAATTCTATGGGTTTCTATAGGATTTCTACTGTCATTGACTTTTATTCCTTGATTTTCCAACAGTGTGTGTAAAGAAATTATTTTTTCGGAAGACACGGAGGAAAAAATTTGATAGAAAAACCTAGCGAATTCGTCAGAAAATTCTTTTGGATTTCTATTGAACTTTCTATTAATTTTTGGCCGATTCTATTGAAACGTTCATTGGGAAATATTCAATTGAAAAGGTCAATAGAATTAGATTTTTCTATATAATTTATCCTATTGATATATTTTCTACAGAATTCCCTCGACTCAAATTTTTCAACTTTTTTTTAGAATGAAAAAACTTGAAAATAAAAATTTCAGCCGAGGAAATTCTATACAAAATATCTGAAGAGAATGAGTTATATAGAAAAATCGAATTCTATTGACCTTTTCGATTGAATATTTTCTATTGGACATTTCAGTAGAATCTTCCAAAAACTACTAGAAAGTTCAATAGAAATTCAATATAATTTTCTAACTAATTCGCTAGACTTATCTACTAAATAGGTAAATGGCATTTTCTGGGTAAATGGCAGGTAAATGGCATTTTCTGGGTTTTGTGGCGATGGGGACAGGGAGATGATTCGATTGGACTGTGGGACAGATGAGTATTTTGTGGGTATCTTGGAAGGAACACGTATGAAAAAAGTCAATAGAAAACCTAACGAATTCACTAGAAAATTCTATTGGAATTCTATAAGAATTCTATGGGTTTCTATAGGATTTCTACTGTCATTGACTTTTATTCCTTGATTTTCCAACAGTGTGTGTAAAGAAATTATTTTTTCGGAAGACACGGAGGAAAAAATTTGATAGAAAAACCTAGCGAATTCGTCAGAAAATTCTTTTGGATTTCTATTGAACTTTCTATTAATTTTTGGCCGATTCTATTGAAACGTTCATTGGGAAATATTCATTTGAAAAGGTCAATAGAATTAGATTTTTCTATATAATTTATCCTATTGATATATTTTCTACAGAATTCCCTCGACTCAAATTTTTCAAGTTTTTTTTAGAATGAAAAAACTTGAAAATAAAAATTCCAGCCGAGGAAATTCTATACAAAATATCTGAAGAGAATGAGTTATATAGAAAAATCGAATTCTATTGACCTTTTCTATTGAATATTTTCTATTGGACGTTTCAGTAGAATCTTCCAAAAACTACTAGAAAGTTCAATAGAAATTCAATATAATTTTCTAACGAATTCGCTAGATTTATCTACTAAATTTTGTCGTGCGTGGAACTTTGGACGGAAAGTGCCGGACCCAGCAAACTCCTGTGCTTCTAGTTTCCGATAATTTTCCCAGTCTCATTTTAACAGGAAGTTAGATTATTTCGTTGCTGCTTGATATCGCTAAACCAAACGGAGATAGCAACATTTTTGGCAAGATGTATCGTTCAAAGTTGGATGACACCGGCCAAAACAACTGCGATAAGAACGTCCTTATCTACTTTGATTCCAAGATACCTCAGGAATACTGACCTCATCCATTATTCATCATGATTTGACAGACTGGAAATGATAGCGAGTATTTTTATTCCAGATTGGGCTTGAATATCGCCCGATCACCGATGCAATGGATTGCTGGAAGTACCATAGTCGTATTGTTATGCCTCTCTGGTCTCTATCGCTTTCGGCAAGAGAAGAATCCTCTGAAATTATGGGTACCACCAGATTCGGACTTTGTGAGGGACACGGAGTGGCTCCTGGCAAACTTCGATGAGGGGCAGAGGACAGAGACCATTATTCTCACTGCTGACAATGTTTTAGATCCTGATGTGCTCTATGAGGTATTGCAAGAGTCACTCAAGCTCACGAAAATTTTAAGTTTCTTCAATTTATCACTTATTTAATGATTTCTGTTGATTTTTGCAGTTGAATGAAATTACTAAACGAATTTTATCAGTACAGACGAGGAAGAAGCCAATATTAGCATGGACAGACGTTTGTTTTAAGTAAGTTCCAAATTTTTTTGATTATTTAATTCAGAATCCCGTTTAGGTGAATTTACTATTTAAGTGAAATTACTGTTTTCTTCACACAAATCTTTCTGAACTTCAAAACAGATCGCATACCAAAAGAATTGTTGATCATCATTCGCTCTCACGATTAATAAAAACTTAGTTATCGTTATTTCGCTGCAAAAAAATCGTACCACCCATTCTAGACTAGTCTAAAAACTTGACAAATCCACTTTCATGATATTTTTGTGTTGAAGGGTCCCCCTAATCGCAGAATATACGATACGTAACAAACGTGGGATAGACGACGATTTCTTCGACGAAGAGCCGATAGTGAAAATGAACAAAACGAAGTTTGAAGCGAGTGTTCACGCACCCAGTGACATTTACTGCAAAATCTTCAATAGTTTCTCCAAGGGATGTCTGCTATTCAGCATCCTGGATCTATGGAACTTTGACTCTGATCTCATTAGGATCCAAACCAGACGAGATATCATACACAAATTGCATTCGGCTAAGCTGAGTCCCACCTTGGGACACCCCATGAATTTTTCTGAATTGTTAGGGGGAATTGAGACTGACTACATGGGCAGAATCGTCTCTGCCAAGGCTGTGAAGACGTTGTGGATGGTCCACATTAATTTTACGAATATCAACATGGGGGAGAGTGGAAATGACGTTGGAACTGCTGACTGGGTAATGTGAGTTTTTATTCTGCTTCAGTCGATCATCATTGATGACCATTAATTCCTCATTTTTGTTTATTGCATTGATGAAGAGTTGGAATTTTTTCTGAAGCATGGCATCTCGTCTTATTTATTACTATCATCTCCATAGTCAGTAATATCAACAGAAAACAAGTGGGAAATTTCTTTCGTCACAACATTGTCAATATATTTTTAATAAATTTTTCAATTTTTTAAATAATTTTCCATAAATTAGCAGTTTGTTCCCTAATGGAATTTCTATGACGATGTATTTTAATTTGAATTCAATGAAGCATTGAATGGATGAGTGGCACAAGATGTGATCTAAGAGGAAAAAATTGTAAAACACTGAAAATTCCATGAAATTCCCAATTTTTTAATAGTATATTAAAATGAGAATTCTTGGATCTATTTGAATTTTCAAGAAAATTGTGAATATTCAGTGCCGAATTACCATGAATTTTCAATTAATTGAAATATACTTATCAGAATTTTCCTGATTTCTATCAATTTTCAGGGAATAATTAAACTAACATTTACAGTTCTCTGTGATTTTTCCCTGAAATTCTGAATCTTCAGAGACGAATTTCCTTGGAATTCCAGTGGAACTGAAATGTGATACAAATTACCTAATAGTGTACCGGAAATTTCAGCCAAAAATTTTTAACAGTCCAACAATGCCCCAATGTTAAAATTTTTCACCTTTCTCTGAATATTGGTTTCAAAATAATTCCGAGATCGAAGCTTCCAATTCTGTAAAAAAATTGGTATAAAATGATTTTTCAGGCCTCAATTGACGTCTTAAACTGGGAATCAGAGTTCGTGAAAGAACTCCAGACAAATGCTCAACGTTTGAAGGATCAAAATCCATTCAATCGAAGTATTGAATTATTTTATGAAGCTGGGAGAAGCTTTGGGGACGTCAGCTCCTCAACAATGTTCCAAGATGTTACTAAACTTATGATAGGAATCATCCTGATGACTCTCTACGTACAATTTATACTGTCTCGATTTAATTGGGTAGAATATCGTGTAGGTATTAATTTTATCTCCGAAAATCCCCCAACTGCAAGATAAATTAAGTTTATTTAATCTTCTGTTCTTATTTATTTTTCCCAGTTTTGCTTGACAACAGCGGGACTATTGTGTGTTGGCGGAGCTTTTATCGTAGCAGTTGGTGCATGCTCTCTATTCAGAGTACCATTTGGTCCAGTCCACTCATCATTACCCTTGATGCTGCTGGGTCTTGGTGTCGATGATATTTTTGTGATGATGGCATCGTGGAAGGAGTTGATGAGCGTTCAAGAACATAGAGAGAAGTCAGTGGAGCAGAGAATTGCCATGATGTTGAGCCATGCTGGAGCTGCCATTTGCATCACTTCGTTGACAGATGTAGTCGCTTTCGTCATTGGGGCATCCACTGTATTTAATTCATAATTATATTGATTGAACTGACTTAGTAGTGCAGTATTACAATAATTCGAGTCGAATGCGACACGTATATCTGTTAGGTTTTCCATTTACTTTCTTAATACGTGAAATTCCACACTAAAAAGATCTTGACTCTCTGATTTATTCTTTAAAAAAATTCAATAATCGTGTAGATGTGGCATTTCCCCACTAAATTGGCGATTCCCATCTGAAAAAATTGAATAGATACTGAATTCTCACGGAAAATTCCTCCTCACATTTTTTTAGTACACAAATGGAATTCCTCAGCAAAACTGATACACTTTCCCATTCACAATGAAGTTCTTTAGCAATTGTGTCCGGATATTATGTCGAATATTTTTATACTTATTGTAAATGAATTTAATCATCTTCCAATTAATCAATTTAAGAAAGGTCAGGGGATATTGGAGACATGATTTGATTAATGCCGATGTTGATTAATAATGTAATTATTTCTCCAATATCCGAGAAATGATTTCGATGTTGATTAATGCCGATGTTGATTAATAATGTAATTATTCCTCCAATATCCTCTGACCTTTCTTAAATTAATTAATATCATGGAAATGTGAACAATCATTGACTTACAATTAATGCTCTTCACCTTTTCATCACCTAGATTCTACCTTCGCTGGAATCTTTCTGCATTTATGCAGCAGTTGGGGTTCTCGTGACATTTCTCCTCCAGATCACCTTCTTCGTACCTTTTTTCTCGTTGGACGTGAAAAGAGTCGAGAGCCAGAGAAACGGAATGTTCCCCTGTATAATTCATGAGAAATACGAACCGTCCACTAGGAATTCTAGGGAATCAAGAGTATCACGTATCATAGACTACCTCTATTCGAGAATAGTGCTGACTCTGCCTGGGAAACTGTTGGTGTTGGGGATCACTTTAGGCATTACCACTGTCGCCGTGATGGGAACCCTTCAGCTGCAGCAGTGGTTCGACATGAACTGGTTCCTTCCTGAGGGGTCGTATCTGCAGGAATTTATCTCTGTTCGAAACGCACAATTTCCTAACAAGGGATATCCGTCCATGGCGATCCTTGGGGATTTGGATTATCATTCTGAGCTGCCTAGAATCATTGATTTCACCGATACTCTCGGGAATTTATCGACTATTGATCATGTTGAGTCGTGGCCACATGATTTCGCTGATTTCGTGATGATGTATTATGAGAAAGGTAATTTTTTTGATTAATTATTGAGCTTTGTGAATTCGTAATAGATTCTTTCACATTTTGAAGAAACGATTTATCGAATAATTTTTTAAAGCTAGTCGGCTTAGAGATAAATCTTGATATTCCATATTATTTTGATATCTTGACATTCTTAATTATTTGCATGTTAAGAATATCCAAGTACTTTGGGTATTTTTTCTCCAGTGAAACGCTTTTCTACTTTTGTTGTCGAACATGAGAGCTTCCATTTGAGCCCCATTTGACCCTAAGTTTTCGGGCATTTTTCAATGATTTTATTATTTCAACTTTGCAGGACGGAATTTGAATCTCAATATTGAACCGTTAGAAAACATTTTAAAAATTTGAAAAAAATTAGAAAGTTTACTTTTGGAGAAAAATTGATGAATTGATTTAAAAATTGCATTTTTTGAAAATTACGAGCATTTTCTATAAATAATTTATAACCATTCGATTTCATGCCTAAAAAAATAAGGTTACCGAAAGTTTAAAGAATTACAGTTATTTATCTATAAACACCAAATTTTAAAAATAAAATTCTGTGCGAAATATAATTAGAATGGCGCTGAATATTCATAATTTTCTTCAAATTTTTCTCACGCAATTTAATTGACCAATTTGATGCTTGAAAATGTTATAGATTATTTTTGAAACGGGAGGATTTATAAAAAAAAGATGAGAAAACCTTTTCCCTGTAAAAACAATTTTTTTAATTTTTTAAACAATTTTTTTTATCAATTTTTTAAAGAGAGATTTTTTAAATTATCTCCACTCTTTCTCAAAATTTGCATAGATTATTTTGTAAATATTCCGGAAAATAATGAGTTCGGAAGACAATATCGGACATTTTTCAGAAAATATCAGAAAAAACTCTCTTGATAAATTTTTCAAAATCTTTTCTTCTCAGTGATGTTTACAGAATTGTTCGTTAAAAATGCTTCACAGATTGTTTTGTAAATATCAGAGAAAAATGCCGACACCTCTTTGAAGCCCATAAAATTTTCATCAATGAAAATCTGACATTTTCTTCTGAATCAAACAGCTCAGAAAAATATGTAAACAGAATAATTACCCAATATTATTTTCTAACATAAAATTTATCTGCAGATGTCAGAAATAACACTTTGAATTCCGAAGAATTTCAATTCTACCTCTCGAAGTTTCTCTTCAGCCAAATGGGTGGAAAATACCAAGGGAATTTTCATTTCTCCTCGAACATCACCTGTGGACAGAGCGCTCCAAGAGTAAAAGTATCAAGCATCAATTTCGCTTTTAAAAGCTTCGCTGGGCCTGATCAATGGCTGCCAGCAATGGACAATGCTAAATCGACATTAGCCGATGCCAATATCAATGGATTTACGTTCATCTGGAGCACTGTGTTCGGTGCTTGGGTGACAGATAAGGTAATTGCAACTGAAGTGACTAGAAATATATTCCTCGCTCTCATCTGCGTGATGGGGACCACATCACTGCTGATTGCCGAACCACAGACGTGCTTTTGGATTCTTCTGTGCGTCAGCTTGACACTCGTTGACATCTGTGGATTTATGTATTATTGGGGATTGAGTATCGACATCGTTTCTTGTATTGGTGAGTACAAAAAATATTGTCTCCACATATTCACCTCTGAGATTATTCGTTTCTGAAATGATTCTATTCCCAAAGGCATAATCCTAGAAAAAGAACGATTCAAAATTTATTTTATTGATTTATTTTAAAAGTAAGAATTGCCTCCGATCACTCGAAATTAAAGATTCGAATTTTTTGTAACCGATCGTTTACGTACATTAATTTCAGAATCATTGTCAAATAACTTCAAATCATTTCAAATAATTAGGCAATTTTTGACGTTGAGTTCGTTTCAATTTGTCTCTTTTGAAAAATTCGAGACTAGTAATAAATTTATCTCTTCAAAAATCCTTGCAGGTCTCGAATTGGCAGTTGGACTGAGCGTAGACTACGCAGCGCACGTAGCCCATGCCTTCCTCCACAGCAAGTCCCCAAAAAACGGTGAAAATCGTCACACAAGAGCAGTAAACGCTGTAAGACACATAGGAGTAGCTGTAATTTGTGGTGCTGGATCCATGTTGCTCTCTCAACTCCCTCTGATATTCTCAGAAGCCTACGTTTTCAAAACCTTCTTCAAGATCTTCTTCCTGGCCATCACCTTCGGTCTCTGGCACGGTCTACTCTTCCTCCCCGTGATTCTCAGTACAATTGGCCCAAAAAGCCTGCACAACAATGACAAAAATGTAATAGAGACTGAGCTCAATACTATTACCAAAGATATTGACGCACAATTGCCATTAAATCCCGTAAAAACTAACGATTAATAAAAAATCAATTGATCATTATCAATAATATTTATTTTTGGTTCAATAAACATACAAAATTATTACACTATTCATACTATTAATCACACATTTATACAAAAATAATAATAATCAAAAAGTAAATTGGATAACTTAAAATTAAAACGGTATTATTTATATATATTTATAATATTTTAAGATTTAAAAACAAGTACAAAATTATTCGTTCCCAAGGATGCTCATAATTTTTATATTATTTCTTGTTCTTGCTCTTGTTCTATTCCCAATATTTTCTGTTATTCATTCGATTATCCTTCATTGATATAAAAAAAAGATATTGAACGGAAGATAAAAATTAAAAACATGACTATCATTAAACGGAATATGTAAACATGTGAATTGGATGCATTATTATTTTCACCTTCATTTTTCTTTATGTATAATCGTAATGAATGAATTTATGACGTAAAAATGAGCGGCGAGAGGAGATCAACCCCATTTTTTATGTTGAAAAAAACGTCAAGAATCTCCAATCGCTGCGTCTCTCAGTCTTACACAGTCCATGGACATTCACTCCATACAAATTCCTCTCATACAAATTATTCTCTCACAATTATTTATTTTTCGTCATTTTCTTACGTTTTTGAAATCAGTATTTTTGCGAAGGAATAGCTGTCGTGAAGGGATGAAACATGATAAAGCGAATATCAATCTATCTCGGTAACGAGTGGTTCTAGAGGAAAATCTCATAGAACATATTTTGTAGAGAATTAAATTTCCAACAAAAAGTGTTTTTTGACATTTTCTCTTAAAATCGTTCATTAAGGAGATAATTTGATAATTAATGCCGAGATAAATTTTTTTCATTCCCTCATGTTTCACCATTTCACCTTAATTAATTACGAAACCCTGGATTAATTCATTCTCACCCAATTTCAACAGAAACATACAAAATCCAGTGATGGATAAAACACCAAGATCACTCGACGGAAAATTTACAATCAGGCAATTCAAGGAAAATAAGAAATCGTTACTCTAGGCGCGTACATCAGCACAGTGTTTTCTTATTAATCAATTATCCTTGTTGGTTTTTGTTAATTAATTTGTTTTACGTTGGTTTATTGTTACGTTTTGCGCACACGACGGTAGACTGCTGGGCAGCAAGCCGCATTTAACGGTAAAGTACACATCTTACTTTATTTCGCTTTACGAATTTTACAAATTTTGAAGGGGAGAGGATCGTTTACATTCTCCATTGAAGATTTCCCTTGTTTATTAGTTTAAGGAACCATCGATATTTTTATATTTACTCAGCAAAGGTGCCAATTTGTGGAGGGAAGGGAAATGTGAGAATTTTAATTAATTGTTGAATTTATTCTGGACTGAAGTGGACATTCAATTAAACCTATCGTATATTTTCACAATTCTCTGGGAAACGAGTGGTTTTAGAGAAAAATGCCATAAGACTTTTTTGTAGCTGACGAAATTTCCCATCGAAAATGTCTTCTAACATTTTCCCCTAGAATCACTCGTTACACGAGAAAAACGTTAAAGAATCTTTTTTATAGAGTGAAATTCGCAATAAAAAAATTCTGTTTACAATTCAGTTTCTTCAATCCAGAATTCAAGGAATTTCGACATTTTTGGAGTTGAGATATGGCAAAAAAGCTCATTAATTCCATCATGAATTAGTTCTTTATTCGTGTGTATTCATGTAATACTTATCAAGGGATTTATCGGGCATTTGCAGTGATGGGGAGTGGCAAATTGACAGGACAGACTCTCAAGGGAAGGTTTGGGGGGTAGTACAGACAGACACACAGACACAGAGACTAGGCTACTATCGACTATCCTATAAACTATCCTAAAAAAATTCACATGCACACGGTATACATACACGCGTGGCACGACGCAATTTTAAACATGATATGTATACTCATGTGCATACGCAGTGGTTTCTCGTTTCATTTTTTATTCCATTTCGTCGTTATTATCATTTATTGGTTTGTGTCTTTATCCTTTCTTTTCTCATCTTCTCTTTAATAAATGTTAAGTTTTTTTTTCATTTGTTATTTTTTTTCATTACTCAAGCTTATGCCCAAAAATCTACCAGAGGCACTTTGGGTTTATTAGTACCATTTAGAAGTCGGCGTGCGCAGGGGAGGGGCACAATGGCTCTTTATTTATTTGTGAAGAGGCAAAACGTAGCATTTAGTGTGAGATTATCTCGAAAAAGTCTGATCTTTTTTTCTGAAATCCATCGTTATCGCGATAATTTCCTAAATTCGTCGTTACGCATTATGAGAAAATGTTAAGGTTCGACTACTGTAAGATTTAAAGATCGATTGTAAATGCATATAAATGAAAAATTAGTGCAAAAAAATTATTATTTACTGCAGACAATTTCATTTTTGTTAAATTATTCATGTGGATTTTTTTATTTTTTGAATTATTGTTCTGCGATCTGAAACAAATAAAAAAATACTATAAAGATTCTGAGAATGCATTTGCTGGCTGTATTGTATGAATAATTCGGCTATTTAGAGGTCGAATAAAAAATAATACGTAATTATGATTCTACACTGGACTAATTTTCGAAGAACAATAAACAATTATTACTTTTGCACTCATTCTTAACATATACATGTATAATTGATCAAAACTCAGAGTAGTCTCCCCCTAGAAGAATTTTTCGACGGCAAATTTCGTCAGCTACAAAAAGCTCTTTCATTTTCCCCCAAAGGTACTTGTTTTTAACGAAAATGACGTTTTACCCCTTCACTAGAGATTTCTTACAAACTGGCCTCGATCACCTCAAAAGTTTCATATTGTTCTCAGTGCCCATAATCACCTCCCCCTCACTGTCCTTTTCCATTCGATTTTATTTCACCTGTCTTACCCACTCGTTACCATTTCTCCTTATCCCCCAATTTTCTCAATTTTCTCATCAATGTTCTCTCATCTTCGCCTTCATTTTTCATTATTCATTTTTGAGCAATAAATACTTTCTCCACGAACAACTGCACATTGAAATTGACGCACTTTTTGACACACACAATCACACAATTTGAGAAAAAATCATACAGTCGCACCGATCCATTCGCACCGCGTCCGAATTCGCACCCATGAAATCAATAAAAATATTGAAATGAGGATAATCATAAGAGAGAATGAATGGAAAGAAGAATGAATTTATAAAAAACAAATTATTCTGTCACACTGAATCGTATATGGCTACATCCACAGAGTTTAATTGTTGTTATTCTTTCCTTTTACGTTTAATTAATGATTATCAATTCATATCAATTCAATATCAATGTATTACAATCATGACAATACTCAACAGTGATTTTTTTTATCTTTTCATTATTTCCATTATTTATATTACAATTAATTAATTAAGAGTGACAACAACATGACGACGGAGGCGTTGAAGCATATTTAGGAGTGGCACAAAAGGTGGTACTTTGTTTTTTTTTATGTTTTCATTTAGGAGTATTTAGAGGTGAATTTTTTTTTCTTTAGTAACACGAGAAACTGTCGCGTATCTTTCATTTTATTACAATAATGAGCATTGATGACAATTACAGGCGACGAGTATTGATGAATTATGATAATGATAATGATAATGATAATGATGATGATGATTCGATGATATTGAAAGAATATATGGCAGATTTTTGTTATTTACTTTAATTTTATTCAACTCCACTGGGGGGAAAACTCATGGTTTGGGAGAAATATACACTTTTTGCTCGAGAGATATTTTTCGTTTCAGAATCATTCGGCAGATTGAGTTGTATGCTGTTGGACGAAATAAATAATGTTTAAGTATTGAATGATGAATATTCCCAATGAGTATTTAAGTTGAATACTCACTGCAAAGGGAATATCAGTTTATAGAAAATAATTGTTCTTGAAGGAAAAAATGAGAGAATGAAACTCGACATTTTCGATCACGTCATCATCATTTTTTCCCACAAACTTAATTCCTTGAGATGAGTATTCACCCAAGATATTCATCTCTGCAAAAATATTTTTTGCAATCTTCCATTCAAAACTCAGATTTAATTTATTCAGTCCAATTATATGTCACTCAATCTGTTCTGAATAATTCTGTGCTTGATAGACACTTGACTTTTTTCTCTTCAATGTCAATAACTCATTGAATTGCGCATGAAATTGAATCACATTGAGCTCAACAGCTTAATTTGTTCCTGAGTCATGAGTATTTGTACAAGTCAAAGGTTTACTCCACTCTCCCCTGTATATTTCCATCAAATGTCAGAGTTTTCGCCAGCATTCAAATATTTCTTAGGGTCAGGAAGTGGATGAGGAAGGGGAAATGGGACGTATTCAATCGGAATTTATTTTTTTCATTAGGAAGAGGGAAGCACGCACACTCAACACAACCGTCACATCGAGCTGGCCTCGCGCGCGCGTGACCATAAGTCCATATCAATTTATTTATTTACTCATTTATTTGTAGTAAAATTACCTATCAACTAATACACCATCTCATTACTCTCGAAAAAGATTTTATTCCACTGTTATTTTTTTGTTCACGTTTATCTCACGTACTTTTTTTAAATCTTTTTTTCGTATTCTCCCCGTCTTATCCTCGAATGTGTGTGCGTCTATATATAATATATATTTATATTCGCGACAATATTATTCATCATTGTTTTTTGTTTACGGAAGGGCACAGCACGCACACATATATACATACACATGCGTTTTTCTTATTAATTATCAATTATTAATTTCTTCAATGCGCCGAGCATTTGATTAAAGTGTATGTATGTACACATATACATAATGACCATCCAATCTTATATATATATATTTTTTCATATCAATTATTTAACTAGTTTCTTTTTCGTACATTTATTTATCGCAATCCGGTGAATTCGGACCAGTCAATATTTTTTTTTTCATTCGAGTGATGGAATTTTGCGATTATCTCGGAAATTATGGACTCCAGGGGGAAATGTGAAAAGACATTTTTTGTTCGAAATTCAATTCCTCGTGAAAAAGGTCTTGTGACAATTTCTCCTAAAATCACTCGTTAAGGGGAGACTACTATGAGTTAATAACATATCCCACTGAAGATCGATTATATATGTATGAGAATAAAGAATTAGTGCAAAAAAATTATTTAGTGTTCGTTTGAATTGTCAGTGATAGTCTAGTATCCTTAATTTTTAAGCTACAGTTTTTTTAAATTATTGAACTAAGCAAGTAATTTTGTTTTTGTTTAAATAATTGTTTTTTTATTTTAAAAATTTTTTTGCTGTCTGAAACGAATAGGAAATGTTAGAAAAATGTTTTACTGGCTAACAAAAACGAAGTTAGCTATTTAGACGTCACATTAAAGAAAAGTAATTCGTAATTGTGTTTCTACACTTTTTTTTAACGAAAAAAAAATATTTGTAGCATAAAAATTGAAGCCATGCGGCCATTTTTAACGTTTTCAGCGTCTGCAGGGCAAAAGAATAATAAACAATTATTTTATTATACTTATTCGTCGTTTTTATTCACATATGATCGATCTTTAACGTATGAGGCTTTTAAAACACATGAGTCTCCCCTTAACGAGACTAATCGGCATTTACATTTCACTCATTTCGTATTTTCTCCTCAACTCTAATTCCCAGCCTATCAATTCGCCTTTAATCGATGCTTGGATGGAAATGTTTGTGTTTCTTTTAAAAATCTTCACCATTTTCCTTAAATCATCAGTCGTCAGTCGCTGACATCGGGCACGTGGCGCGGATAGATCAGTTGCACAATTTACAAATTCAATATATGAACGACTGATTTACAAATAATCTCATTCATTCATCATTTAATCAGTGATAATTATCATACCCAAATAATTTTTTTTTCATTAAAAACCCTTGATCGTAAGATCTCTCATCGCCATCAATTCGACGATCGACTATTGATTTTAAATGACGATATATTCGTCGGCCGCCGGAGTGTGAGCGTGATTTTAATTGTAATCCTATTGCAATATCATTTTTTATTTAAATTAATTTGGTATATTATTTACAATTATCTGGTAAGTGCGATGATAATTAGTCACACCTGCCAGCCAGCGGCCTTCCAGAAGACTTTGTCGTATGTGCTTTTTTTTATTTAAAATTTATTTCATTCCTTTGTTAATTATTCATTTATGAAACACCTATTATTATTTCGATACACAATTTCTTTTCGAACGTTGCGCGCACTTCATCATCTTAATTAATTCAAGGTGAGTTAATTTCTCACTTCTCACTTTTTCTCACGTATTAAATCACAAAATTGGGACGATTGTAAAACAATTTGCTTCAGTTTTATCGAAATTAAATAAAACCGATGGGAAACATTGATTTTTCTTCAATTGTCCTTTCCTCTGTTGTCTTGGAGTCGACGTCACAACGTTCATTGATAGCTTTAGGCCACGTTTAATCGTTTTTGAATTACATTTTTTATGGCAATTGAATCCGTAACCAAGTGTCGACAGGTTCTCAGCAGGGCCACTCGTGCCTGGGCTTTGTCGGATACTTGGTTGGTATAACGGGACATCAGGGATTAGCGTCCGCCGCCATTATATTGTGCACCTGCTCGAGTTTGTACGCCAATCTCTGCTTCTGGGAGAATTCGTCCTCCTCGAGGGTCACTATTAATTGTTCGTTGTACTTTCCTGCGTATGTGTAGAGCTCGTACAGGGCACAATTCGTGTTGAACTCTGTCGTGTGTAACTGGGAGAGAAAAGATCATTTTTAGTTTGATGATTTTCAGAGGGAAAAATAATTTTTAATTTCGGGAATGTCACGTATCTCCAGGGAAGATTTATAAGAATCTATCACCAATTATTAGGGATAATGGATATTGGATAGAATTAGGCTGATCATCAGTGATTTCTATCACTGAAATTAGTGATGATGTGACGAGAATTAGTGACAAAATCACTGAATTCCAGAATTTTGCACGCGTTGAAGTTCATAAATACGAGTTCTTAAAAATTGGGGATAAATTCTTAAAAATTATGAAGAATTTCTAGAGGAAAATGAAAATGAATAATAATATATTGAGATATTATTATTAGCAGTTAATTTTTGATACATTTGCATATATTGCATTTTCATTGAACGTTTTTTTATCAGCAATTTTCGATATTTATGAGAATCAACACGAGAAAAAGTTGCACATAAATTCTTCTTGAAGGCTTTTTTTACACTTTTTTTTTCATTTTGATACTTACTCTTGACTCTTCAGCTAACATTGCGTTCATATCGTGATCAGATATTGCCGGCATGGTTTTAATATCCGAGTAGTAACGCTCTACCCACTCTTTGTACGCTGGAATGTCTTTTGCGTAAAGCAGCTTGGAACTCGGTGAGTCTTTGCCTGGAAAAATTTACAAAAATTAATCAACAAATTCGATAAAATCTCGAACATTCCTCATGCGCCAACCGAGCATTCCAATATTCAACAGTTTACAGTCCATAAAAAAAAGAATTCTCAAATCCCAGCGAAAATTTCAAGATTTTATTTCTCTCAATGTAATTACGCAAATCCCTCGTTTATGATATATTCTATAAAAAATAGCAACAGACCTTCCTGATGGGAAACTTCCCTATTTTCAAAAGCTCCCTTAATATTTCGTCCTAAAATCCGTCATTACAGGGATAACTGCATAATTTTCTCGACTTCCCATCGATTTTTAATTAAATTAAACATAAAAAATTTCAAACTTCGACAAAACATTTTAAATATCTCATCACAAGCATAATTCATCAATTGAGTTTTCAAAAAAACTGAATTGTTGAACAAATTTTTGAGAATGAATTCATCAATTTTTTATTTTCATAAAAAATAAGTAAGACAATTGCATGTTTTAATAAATGAGTATAATTATTATTGCTAATAAATTAGGACTTTGCTTCCATATCATAGTACTATCATCAATTGAAATGGCATCAAAATTTTGCGTATTATTTCGGTCTGATAGAATCAAGAGGGCATTGTCATCAATTTTTTGAGCCATGACTAATTACATTTTGATAACAATTTTTTGAGTGACCGCAAATCCAAACATTGGATTTTAATTGGTGTCAATAAATAGAGCTTATTAAAGTCTACATTCACCGAAAAATTCATGGAATTCGATTGATCCCTTGCAAGAAAATTTTGAAAAAAATGAAGAAAAAAGACCCCATTGAGTTACCCGTTTTAGAACATATATAGTTACCCAAAAAGTAACACAAAAAATGATAAATTTCAATTTGAGCGATTACAAAGCTGCCATTCTGAAGCCATCACAATCAACGCAAAAAAAGTGAGATGTGTTAATTTGACCCCTCGCCCTAACATCCAATCCCCAAAAAAATAATGAATAAATTAATTAATCAACTTACCTAGCCTATGATCCGACGTCGAACAGCTATCCATAAACGTCTGTGCAACAACAGAGAGACAGGAATCCACAATATTCGACTTGTGTATATCAAACACAAAGTTTGGATTTTTAATGAGATTGACCCAAAACCTGAGTGGAAGTGAATTGCTCTTCCACGTGTGTACAACCTCGGGATCAGAGATGCCATGATGAATGGCTTGATCATCGAGGAAATCAAACATGTATTTAATGGCTAGTGGCAGTGCAGATCCACGATGTGCAGTACTGAATATTGTTTCAAAAAGATCATCGACGAATTTTTGGAGTGTACCCTTGGTGGCAAGTAACCTCGTCAGATAGATCTCCGAGACCATCTTGTTGCCGCGTTCACCCTCCTTCTGGGCATCTGTATCGTGATGCTTCACCAGATGCCAAACCTTGAGCCCCCCATCGTGATCGTGATTGAGGGGCGATGTGGCACGTGACAATGGCGGACTCGCTGAGCTAAATTTACTTAGATTGAGCGTTTCGTACTTGTGTGATTTGTCAGTTTTCTCTGACAATATCGAAAGATTGTAGATGGATGATTGTTTTGAGACTAAACTCAGTGATGCACCGTCTGGCACTCTGTAGTGATTCAGAGTATTTCGTTTTTTCCATTCACCCTCTGTCTTCGTTGTCGTGTCCTCGTCGTAGAGGATCAGTCTTCCTGATGCACCTGTTCGCCATTCTGTAATCAAATTGGAGATGTTTATTGCAAGGACTTGGGACGAATGAGGGGGAAATGGGGGAAAAATTTGGAGGATAATTCCTCAAGAGACCTTTTGTTATGACCCCCGATATCCTCCACAAAAAAGATCTCAGAAATTCTTTTAAACTTCTGTTTATTCAAGATAATTACAACTTCTTGAAAGAATCATAAAGACTGAAATATTTAAATTAGGAGTTTCATTATCCAGTTAATTACTAAAAACCCACTAGATTTGCAGACAAAAAGTGTCAGAAGATTTATTTAAAGTCCAACATGTCCCCCGCAAAAAAATGACTCCTCATAAAATCTCTTGAGCCATAAAATCTCTTCATCCCAAGAAATTTGCAAAAAACACATGAAACCCATTCCACACTGATTTAATTCCACCACTCGACCCCTGACTCCCAATCACTCACATTTTCTCCCTCGAACAATTCAACAAGTTCATGATCAATAAAAACAACTTCCCTGTTCCCTTAATGACTCCATTCATCCCCTAAAAATGAAAAAATCCACTTACCGAGGTCAAGATCCTCTTTTCTCGGCCGTTGGCTGTACGGAGTGGCACGATAAATAGTGTCTAATGCCTTCTCCTTCACTTGAGAAATTGTGTCACAGTCAAGTAGCTTGACTGGCACATTCTCCGTTGTAGGATCAAGATTGCTGAACACCGTCTGCTGAGCAATTGTCACGAAGACAGTCTGCGAAAAGTAAAATACACCGTACAATCTCCCATCTCAATCATGTACTTAGAGAGAAAATAAACATGTTCTCGAATAAGTCTTGTTTGAACCGAGAAAATCGCACGTTGAAAATATCTAAGAATGGACATTCTCCTACTGAACATTTCACAAAATGCTCAATCAATAATCAAATTAGAATGAATCTGGAATATTATATTCAGAATTGTTCGACTCCATAAGCTGGTCCCTCTTTGGAAAATGGAATAACCGTAATTTCAAATCTATATTTCACCGAAGACGAATTGAATGAGTTCAATTGTCGTTTTAAGAAATTTTTTTTGTGTTTTTCATATGACCTTCCGCAAAATTAATTATATGAAATTCGAAATCACTCAATTCCTTATGTTAAATAAAAAAAGAATGTTATTTAAAACTGAAATCTTCATAATATTTCATGTCTACACTATTTATTTAAATCAACACGGATGAAAAAATTTAATAGAAAAACCTCGAAAAAAGCGATTTTGGTAGACAATTCTATTGCATTTCTATTGATTTTTCTATACAACTTATTCTATTGAAATATTTTCTATCGAATTTCCTCGGCTCAAATGTGCTAAGTTTTTTGTTTGATTTTCTTGCTGAGAAGAGAAGAAAATAGAATGACAGCCACTTAGAGAATTAATGCCGAGGAAATTTCTGCAGAAAATATCTGAAGATAATAACTTATAACTTATGTAGAAAAATCTAATTCTATTAACTTTTTCTATTAAACATTTTCGTGCGTAAAGAAGCCATTCTTAAAAAAATACTGAAATTTTCCATCAAATACTTGAAACCTGGTGCTTGAAAAATCTGGTGTGACCCCCCTTAATGTAATGTATGACCCCTATTATATACTAGAACCAGAACAAGTTCTTTCTTCTCTCAGTGTGAACTAATCAAGTACATGAAAAAAAAACTAAAAATAGAAATATATTCATCAACTACGAACCATTGGTTTAAAGTCAATAGACTGTCTTATGAGTTTCTCCTCTGAGAGTGAATAACGGGCTTCGGAGGAGATTGAATCAACAGGGCCCTTGTCAACCTGCTGCTTCATAGCACGGAACAGCATGTAGAGTGGCTCGCCAGCGCACTCTCGCATAAATTTGTACAAAAGAAACGTGAACCATGCGGATAGCATTTTTTCAGCCACACTCTCCGTTCTGAAAAAATCATGATAAATATACCGGTATATTCAATTTGTGGAGTTAATTAAATGTCTCCAGTCGTAACAACCTATTTCCCTTTTTCTACATTTTCGTTTTAATGTCACTGCGAAGTTAATAAAAGATCCGAGTTTTAAACATGACTGGGGAATTCGTAGTGAATAACAATTTGTCGGAAAAAGAGAATTATAATAATGGGAGATTATTTCATGTTGCATAACGATGCTCTAGAGAAAGTCGAGAATTGCGAAACAATTGGGGAAAATTCAATTAAGATTGTCTCTCTGGGGAATTAGTTGGTTAAAACGTTTGAGAATGAAGGAAGAACTTGGGAGTGGAGTGCTTGAAGGATCAAGTCAAGTTTGGAGAGGATAAGTTGGGATTAATATCTTCAAATCCGGGGAAATCGGGACTTTTTTCATTAGAACTTTTCTTGTATTCTTCAGATGATTCTTTTTTTATTGAATAGAATCATGAAGCACTAAAATTGGAGGAAAAATACTGAATACGTATTGTTTTCTTTTGTAAAAATGAAGATAAATTCTATTAAATATCTATTGGATTTCTATTAAAATGCTATAAGAACTTACATTTATTGCTGCAGATAGATCAGATTAGAATAAAGTTTTTTGTACGAATTAATCTCTTGGGATTTTTTCTATGGAAATTCAGGGATCTAAATCCTCTGAGTTTTTTCACCTGTATCATTTGTCAATTTTTAAAAATCGAATATGCATTGTTAAACCTGCGTATTTTCCAATTGAATGTGACCAGAGAAATGATTCATTTGAATTTCAAAAACTATTATTTAAATCAAATAAATGAGTTTATTCAGATTACTCATAATAGAGCTTTTATTCGAACATAAGCTCAATTTTTATTGGCATTTTTATTCGCATTAAGGATATCCAAGTATATTTTGCAGTTTGGTACAGACCGCACTATAGATTCTAGCATTTTTAATTATCAAATTTGTCAATGAAATTGCGTGAGAAAAATTTGAAAAAAATCATAAACACATTTTGCCCAGAATTATTGGTTTTTTAAACATTCTTTGTTTATAAATAAATAATTAAAACTATCCAAACCTTCGGAAACCTTATTTTTTTAGGTACGATATGGATTCAAATATCAAATAAGTAAGAATCAAATAAGTAATTTCTCTGCGCAATAAGATCTCAGAAAAAAACGTCTGGTGTTTCTATAAATTTTCTTCACATTTTCAGTCATTTGTTCCTCGTTACTTTTGAATTGTTCATCTTACTATTTATTTATTTCACGAATTGTTCATCGTAATGTAAAAAACCATGTCTAATCATCCTCCCCAAATTGTTCCCAGCATCAAGAACAATTCCATGCAAAATCTAAAATCACCCGCAATGAAAAACATATAATAATAAATCTTACCTCCTCAGCAATAATTTCGGATGACTTTTGCCCTCCATGCACTTCTCAATAAGCTCAGCAAGCAAAGTCTTCAGAATATCAGTGCAGTACTCCATCTTACTCTGCAGCGTAACCATGATCAAACTAGCGACATTGACCCTATCCCTCATCGAGAAGTACCGATTGCTCTCGAGAGTCCTCACAAACAGCAGCAGAAACGTCTTATGCATAATGAGCTGTCCAAAGAGCCTCAGCCCCTTCTCCTTCCTCTGCAGCTCAGGTCTGTCCCACTGGAGAACAACATGATTATCCACATTAGGGAACAGAATCTTCATGGCATAAGTCCTGTAATCGAGGAATGGAATGCCACCGCTGGTGAGATCCCCAGTGAGATCAGTCATCTCAGTCTGCAATTCCGCGAATGCCTCCTTGCACTCGGCAGCAACTCTCAACTCAAGTATGTCCATCTGCTCCTGCATGTTCTTGAGGACTCGATTGCTCTCAGTCGACTTCCTCCTATAGGCGATCAAGAAGGCGATGAAGATGAACACGAGGATGATGATTGCAGCGATGACGCCGATGAGAGCAGGTCTGGAGAGGGGTCCGTTGAGTCCAGCGGGCAGAGCATAGCTCAGTTTCCCAATGTTGAACCTCAAGGTGTTTCCAACGATGACAATCACTTCAGGGAGTTCCTGCTTGTCAGGCAGCCCCTCAGCGCTCAAGGCAGGAGGCTGCGATGGAGGGGGTCTGCAGGTCAGCTGTTGCCTAGACAACGACGTCACATTGCAGTAGGTACTTCCAATCTGCACGATCACATCGGACTCCTGACACGCCCTGTCCAGATGCTGTCCGTTGATCGTCAAGTAGTCACTCTTGTAGTACTTGACTTCCTCATCGAACTCGTCGTAGATTGGATTTGGATACAGCAGGAAGTGATTGAAACCGTTTTGGGAGAGGTTCTGCACCCCAGTGACGTTGTCCATCCTGAAGCCGTACTCAAGGGCGAGGGGACGCTCTGCATCGAGGCCCACGTTCTCAGGCACTTCGATCGAGGGGGAACGACAGTCCATGCTCGTTTGACTCAGCACATCGCAACGGGAGACGAACATCTTCTCATCGTAGTACACGTACATCTGGGGATTCTGGATGTAGCCCAGGTTCTTTCCAGTGACCGAGATCTTGATTCCACCCGCTGGGATTCCCTTCGGGATCTTCATCTGTCCTGCGACTCCACTCTCCACTGACTCGATCGTCGGATCGTCGACGTACTCGAAGTAACCGTTGTAGGTTCGGTTTCTACCGTCGAACGTCATCAGGAGGGTTCCGTTTCGGTTTATGTTGCTCGCGGAGGTCATGCAGAGGGTTTCGTTGAACTCGGCGGATATCACTGAGCAGGCGAGCTCGTCAATCGTTACGCGGATTTCACTTCCCGCGTTCATGTACTTGCCGGTTATCTTTACGATCGTTCCTCCACTTCTGGGGCCGTATCTGGGGTGGGTTTAAAAACGAAAGTTTAGGGACGAGATTGCTTAAGAGGGGATTTGGAAATCTTTGGGGTATTCGGGACTAGGGGGGCTTCGCCCCCTGCTCGCTTCGCTCGCCAGAAGAATGATTATTTTGTCTCTGAATTAGGTATGCATTGAGACTTTTAAGACGAAGCGGTGGATCCTAAACCGTGACGCGTAATTATTTCTCTTACTTCTTGGGCCGTATCTGGGAGATGGACTTTTTTGTTAAGTTTAGGGAAGATGCAATTCAAAGCGGAATTAATAAATCTTTGGGTTATTCGGGATTATAGGGGCTTCGACACCTCCTCCCTTCGCTCGCCAGAAGAATGATTATTTTGTCTTCGCATTATGCATGCATGCATTGAGATTTTTAAGAGGAGGAGGTGGATTCCAAATCGTTACGTGTAATTATTTCTCTTACTTCTTGGGCCGTCTCTGGGGGATGCCCATTTTTGTTAAGTTTGGGGAAGAAGTAATTCAAGGGGGAATTAATAAATCTTTGGGTTATTATTGGATTCCACTTTCTCCCATCAATTCATATCTATTCCGATACCCATTTATGTGTGTGATAGGTAAGATATATTTCTGTAAATATATGAACGGAATGGAGGCTGAAACAAGACAATATGATACACCCTTTCGATTCCTTCTCCACATCTTATTATCTCTTTCATTATTTAGAATAAAATAAAAAAATTAAATGAAAATCTCTTTTTCGAAAAAAAGACTGCTATGTGTCACACCCACTTCTGTCAAATTCTACTAGTCGTGCGCTAACTGGGAGCGAGCGAAGCGAGTGACCTGCCTCTTATCTTTCATTTTACTTTCGCATAAATTGGTCATATTTTTAATGGAAAAATTGACTTCCTACATACCTAGGTGAGATATTATCGATCACTGGATCCACAAACTCGTAGTTTTCCTTAGACTGTCCTCTGTAGTTTTCGATCTTCACGATAACTGGCCCGACTTCCAGCTTCTTCGAGCCCGGCCCATCCACCCTACACGTAATCTGCTTCGTTCGAATGTAAAGTTGCTCGTAAGGTTGGCAAGGAACTCCAGCTACTGTCACTCCTGCGTAGATGTCGTTGAAGGTTTTACCGAGGTTTATGCCCCGAATTGTGACGTTTGTGTTGCCCTCCCAGGGTCCCATCATGGGCTCGAAGGAGTGGATCTCGGGATTCGGACAGGTTTGATTTCGATTCAGCCAGATTCCGGAGCCCCTGCCACACTGGTCTTTGACTTCGCATCTGTCTGTACTCTGGCACCAGCCACAGCCGTACTTCGGAGGGATTGCCAGGCACATTCCGCAGTTGTCTGCCATGTCTCGGCAGCGGTAGATCACCACGTGGATGTTGTCGGGGTTGTCCAGGGGTTTGGAGCCGCCCCAGATTACAGCGAAGGGGACGGTTATGTTGGGGGTTCGCGAGGTGTAGGAGAACTCCATGTCGTCGCAGTAGATTGTGTCGGCCAGGAGGCGAGCATTGACGCTCGTCACTCGGCCCTCGATGTTGAATTGACAGACGAATCGGGTTTGGATGATGAATTGCTGGAAAAGGTAGCGTGAATGGCTGAGATGTGGAAATCACCGTCATTTTGTGTTTGTTATATTGTAGCGCCTCGCTACGTACTATCTGAGGGACGACTATCGCATGGCTCACACACACTCAGAGGACTCACGCGCACCTCTGAGGTTCCGAAATCCCGACTATCTGAGTTAGTCAGTGTTGGAGACTATCCGCGTACTCGAATCGTGTTACTTCACAATTCATAGTTACCATCACTTGTGTATATTTCTCTCTAACGCTTCGGCGAATAAACTAGTTATACGGGGTGTCCTACGGCCGATCCTTTTCATTCGAGGGTATTGAAGAGGGTGCTTTTTGAAGTGGAAAGTTTCCCATTAGGAAAGACATTATTACGACCGGTATATTCATACTCTACGTTATCCCCGGGCTATCCACACGATCAAACCTTAGATGTTTTTAAGGTATGAATTTTATGGAAAGCAGGACGCTATATGCTATCCTTCAATTTTCCGAACCTCTATACAGCGAGGGAAACAATCAAATAATTATCAATGCACAAATTAAAAAATTCGGAGGCACACGGACTTGAACTCAAGTGGGGTATGTGTGGAAAGTTTCCCCTGTCACAAACTTTTTGCACATCTCCAATTGTCTCCTTAATGTCAAATTTCGAAACGTCCGTTGTTATGTTTTTTAAGCCGCTAAAAAAGGTATAACTGAATTATTTATTTCAAATCATTAAAATGTTGTTGAAATAAATACACGAATTGATGAATTTATAACAAAAGTATTATTGAAATGAATAGAAAATTTCAAATAGTTTTACATGACGTAAATCCGTTATTTCTCGATGAATTTAATATTCTAAAAGATTGGAGATTTATATAGATGATGAATGATAAAAGAAGAAAAGTTCCTGACACATTGACGGCATGAATAAAGCAGAAGATTTGTCTCCATCCGATTTCATCAACTACAAAGTAAGACGTTTGACATTTTCCCTCCCACCCTTCCTCCCCAGATGTTCCCAAAATGATCAGTATAAAATACTCAGTCCTCCGTGTTTTCCCCTTCACATCAGATCAGAAACTTCCAACGACTACCGAGCAAAAAAATGATTGAATCAAGAACTTCTACTTCCCCAAACTCCCTCCAAAAACAAACCCAAAGGAGAATTCACTCACCCCTATGATATGAACTTTAACCCGAATAGGTTTTTTAATTCCCGAAGACACAAGAATCTCCTGCGAGTCGGTAGCATTTATCGTCGGGCAGAATGCAGGTCCACTTCTGTAACTCGGTCCCATCCTCTGTGAACAAACAATCCGAGAATTCAATGAAACTTGTTCCCTCCCGGCAAAAAAGAAACGTTCATTCATTGTCCAGTGAAAAATTCAATTAAAACTTGGATTAAGACGACACATACACTGACTCCAGTGACGAGTATGTCATTACGACAATTGGCGGCTGTGTCGTGGGTGCACCTGTGTCCATCGACACACCAATCACAGGGAAAGCTCGATGAGACGCACTCCGTGCACGACGAGTAAGTGTTGCAATCGAAAAAGGTAAAATTGGTGGCGACAAGATCAGGCCCATTGGTCATTCTGACGGACAGTTTAGCTGTGAAGTGATGATGTCCAGCTGGTATCGACGGCAGTAGATCAGTCCTAGGTGTTGTGCAATTGACCCCATACGATTTCCGCGTGGCATTGGTGATAAGTGTCTTATCGAGGGCCGAAAACGCGCAGAGGAAATCTCCATTCAATGTCGGCAGATTATCAATGACAAGATCAAGAGTTCTGGCTGTCGTTTTCTGGAGCTGATCCGGCGTTACAGTTGTTATCGTTGTGCACTTGCCACTCTTGTAGCTTATCCAGTAGAGTGGGTCGTTGGCAGCGTCCTGACAGTCACTCCGGAGATTACACTTGTTCTCCAGTGAGCACCAGCCGCAGTAGGGATCCTTGGCGCCCAAGCAATCCCAGCAGGTTTTATAAACTGAGCATTCCTGCACCTTCACCTTTGATACTTTCTTCTCGGTTAGCACATAGAGATGCATCGGTGGCTGCTGAGAGTCGAAGAGGAGGTCAGGGTTCACGGGTGAGTCAGCGTCAATCTCCAGGTCACCGTACTCCTGGGCACCGCTTGCACTCTCAACTACGACCTGGAACAGAGATCAGATGTGGGGGTTAATCAAAAGGGTAATGCGAAAATTCCGATGGTTATTTCGTGGGATTTATTCGGTAATTGGGGGGCTTTATGGAGGCTCAGGGGAAATTGAGAAATTCGAGGTCAGTCGTTTTTTATTATTGAGTATTGCGCAACATTGGGAGGATATATCTTGAACAGGGGGCCTATTCTCAAAATATTTCCGTGCACGGAAGTGGCTTCGTAGACGAATTCCGTGTAGGAATCATACAGGCGTTCCGTCAACGGAGTCGATTCCGCGCACGGAAATATTTCGAGAATAGGCCCCCAGGTGGGTCTAGAAAAAAGTGTCGAGATTTTTAAACATTGTTTTTGCTTCCGAAGGAAGCTTTGTAATCGTTTAAATCATAGTGATAAATGAGAATGTATTCGGGTTCCGTGAGGCGCAAACGTTCGGAGATTTAAGCCATTGATAATAATTTACTTCTCTCAAATAAATGCAGTTTGCATATTAGGAAACTTTTCTTTGTGTTGAGAAATTCGAGATGATTTTTTTATTATCAAGTATTGCTCAATATTTGGAGAATATATGAGGGCATCTACATGAAAAGGGCCCACTTGGTCGGTTTGGAGTTACGTATATTCCGGTAATCTTAGTGAGATTCCTCACATTTTGAGCCCAAAATTAACACGATAGTATGAAAAATTACGTCGGTATAGAAAATGAAAAAATCAGTTTAACATTGATTTAAATAGAAGGTGTGAACACAAAAACGTGAATATCTCGCAAAATAAATGCGACAAAGTGGGCCCTTTTCACGTGGACGTACACATATCTTAAAGTAATGGGCCTAGGAAAAAATTCCGAGAATTTTTTTATTGTTTTTTACTTTCTTTTAAAAAGCAATCTTCACCTGGGGAAACGCTTTATTTGAATTGAATAAATAGCTTCCAAGTACAAACAAATGTTCCTCCGATCCCAATGAAGATTTTATTAATTAAAAATCGAATTATTATTTGGACGGCAAACAGAACGAATTTATCGGAAAGTAATGATCGTTTATTTGTTTCTATTCATAAACAGTTTATTTATTTGAAATGAATAACTGTCTATTTCATATAATTGATTCGTCATTTCCATAAAAAATATTGTTACTTATTTGGTAGAATTTATTGGTTGATTGAGGGTTTTTATGATGAAATTGAACAATTATGTCCTTTAATTTCCCAATTTTCTTTCAATTTTTCTATTACCAAGTATTTCTCAATATTTGGATTGAAAGAACTACTCGAACTTATCAATTTCTATCAAAAATACTGTTGAAATCAATCCAAAAATTTCAAACGAAGAGTTTTATTTGAATCAAATACGAAATCTTTGCAAAACTATTATCAAATTCCCCATTTTCCCCAGTCTACACTGATTCAACTACTTTGCAATATATCATTATCGGAAATCGGTTGAACTCCCGTCACAAAAATTCAATATCCCCATCTGGCGTAACGTCCAGGTGTTTCCTTAAAAAAAAAATCATTTCCTTTCTTCGCCGATCATTTTTATTCCCCTTTTTCCATCAATTCTATTCATACACTATCATTATTCATCCAGAAAAGACACGAATAATATCGTCGTGCAAATGACTGTGCAACAGGTCCACCACAAGAAGTGATCGATCAAGCGTGTCTAGTCGAATAATCTTTAGAAATGAAAATAGATAAACATGGTAAACATTGGTAAATGTTTATATTCATAATTTCTCCAGCGATACAGAACAATTTGTATAACTCTGGCACCGTGTGACCCAAGTAAAAACAGCACAACTGATGCATACAGTTGGACGAGTTGTGCTGGAGAAATGGTGAATAAAAAATTATGGAGATAGACTTGCTCAATCATAACGGTATTTATTGGCAGGAGAGACAAAGAGGTTTTCTGGTATAATGGCGCACTCGGGGAATGGGTTACATGGGATGGAGTTTCGTAATAGTTTGAGATTTGCCATGTCGAGCATATCTTTGGTGATGCTGGGAATAAGAGGAGACAAAAGCCAACTGGGAGAGCCGATCGATTCTGGGTGAGGGCTGGTGTGTATGGGGCCTTTACAGTGTGTCGACTTTGGGGGGTGCATTCATACCAATGGCGATGGAATCCTCACGGGTGGCCATTTCATTTTCGACACTGGTTGACGCCCTTGTGGCTTTCATTCGTACTTATAGAAAAGTTTCCCATTCAGTGGACACTGCTGCAGGGAAGAATGGAGGTGAAACTTTGGGTTTTGACAAATTAATTGTCCCTGATGGGATGGAGTTTTTTTGGGGCAGGGCTTTGTGGGGGTTCCAGAGGTGTTTTGCAAATAATGGAATCGGCGGGTGAATGCTCGGGACGAATCGATTTTTCAGGGCTTCTTTTAGGGGGGAGATTGTCGCGAAATGGGAGAATTTGGGAGTGATGTTTTTTGCTTCCGAATGGAAGCTTTGTAATCGTTCAGATTTAAGTTTTGGGTTTTGTCGGTTATGTCGACCCAGTATGATTCAATAAAAATCTCATGAGAGTGACATTGAATCGAATTTAGGGATAAAATGTTTATAAATCTCAAGTAGAATTCGCGGACATTCAGGGGTTTTCAGTGGGAGTGAGATGGAAATTTCGCGACTTTTTTGAATTTTCAGTGGAATTCCAGTTTTTGCCTGAATTTTCCTGATTTTTTTGAATTTTCACAGAATAATTGAACTGATAAATCAAGTATTTTATTGATTTTCAGGTCATTTGCACAGAAAATCAAGAGAATGTTTGATTTTTCAATGACAAGATTTCCTGAAATTTCAGTGGAACTTGAACACGATAAAAATTTCCGGAATTTGGAGCGGAAAATCCGAAAGAAAATTTGTAACAATGCATTTTTATTTGATTTAAAAAGCCATTTTCCTGGGTGTTGACGGAAACTGTCCATTTGAAAATTGAAACCATTTAACGTTAGAAACAATAACAAATTCAGGGGGAATTTGGTCCGGAAAATTAGAACAATAGAGTCCAACAACGTTGAAAATTCAATTGCAATTCCCAATGGTTGACACACCGAAATAATGCAACGGGAGGGTAATACAAACGAGCGTCAAATCGATTCGCAATAATTTGTCGGAGCTGGGTCAACCTGTCTGAAAGTTGCTGGTTAATATATTGCCATTGCATTGTATCGACATTGGAGGCCTGCGTCGCATGAACACGAGCATTACGTATGATAACCCGGGATGTGTACGAGTGAGTATTGAATTGGAAACCTCGGTTCACTCCTGTTGCCGAACTGCTTCACTCGAGTTTTGATGCTGTGACTCATCCCGGAAATGAGATAATAGTGTAACGAGTCTATGGAGTCATACAATGAGCCGTCAACCGTTATTTATCCTTTATGATCGCATTCATACTGCATTGATTTCATTCAACTTGAGAAATAGACTGCAGTTTAAATTAATTAAGACGGTTATGATTGAGATTAATGACTCCACATTTTTCTCAAGACGAATGATTTTGAGAAATTGAATATTGAAAGAGTTTATTGAGCTGATATCTCTTGAGGGGAGAGAATTAGAAGAAAATGTTATTAGAGGTTTTTCGTGGGGAATTTCTAGTACTACAGAAAAGATTTATGACATTTTTTTTCTAGATTCACTAGTTTCTGAGAAATTTGGGAAATAATAAGTGGAGATTTTTCTGTCTCATCTGCTTTTGTTAATTTTCAAGTGAAATGATCTCGGATTTGATTGATGATGAAACCAATTGGAAAAAAAATTTTATGAAATTTTTTTTCAAATTTTTCAACTGTAAGAAGTTAAATTTCATTTCCCAAGCACATCCCAAGAATTATTGAATCACTCTAGAATTCTTTTATGATCGCATTCATGTTGTATTGATTTCATTCATCTTGAGGAATATACTCGATTTTTAATTAATTCAGACGGTTATGATTGAGATTAATGACTCCACATTTTTCTCAAGACGAATGATTTTGAAAAATTGAATATTGAAAGAGTTTATTGAGCTGATATCTCTTGAGGGGAGAGAATTAGAAAAAAATGTTATTAGAGGTTTTTCGTGGGGAATTTCTAGTACTACAGAAAAGATTTATGACATTTTTTTCTAGATTCACTAGTTTCTGAGAGATTTGGGAAATAATAAGAGAAGATTTTTCTGATTCATTTATTTTCGTTAATTTTCAACTGAAATGATCTCGAAAATTATTGATGATGAAAGAAATCAGAAAACATTTTTTTCATTAATTAACTCTACATTTTTCTCAAGAGGAATGATTTTGAGAAATTGAATATTGAGACAGCCAATTATGCAAATATCTCTCGAGGGAAGCGGCTTAGAGGAAAATGTCATAAAAACTTTTTGGTGGGTAATTTCTAGCACTACAGAAAACGCTTATAACATTTTTTTCTAAAACCACTAGTTTCTGCGATATTTCCGAACTAATGAGTGAAGATTTTTTTTGATTCATTATTTTCCGGTACTTTTCAATCAAAATTATCTCCGGAACGATGGATGATACAAAAAACGTCCGAAAGTATTTTCAGTAAAAAATTGTATGCCCTACAAACGAGTTTATCTGACATTCTACCCTCAACCCACTATTTCCTGTGATATTCGCGAAATAAACTGTTAAGAAATTAATTCCATTTCCGGCGCAAATTATTTTATGACTCTACAATTCTTTTATGATCCCAGGAGAATGAGATGAACTCATGATTAAATTCACTCCCATGTGATCCCCATAAAGCCTCCATTAAATCCCTAACTGCCCCATTTGTCCAGCCAACACAAGAGTGAATGAGAATAAAAAAAATTAGACAACAATGAAAACAATAATAAATAACAATCGCGTGACGAGGTATCATAATGGGCCTGTGGTTTTATATCATAACTCCGGTCTCACGCCGCGCTCAAAGTTATCCGATTTCCATTCCACTGGCCCACCCTGTTAAATGCCATAAAAAACACACGAATTTCCACACCGA